TTTTTTTTTTTTTTTTTTTTTTGGTACCTTTTTTGGGTCCTTGTTTTTCTTGTGAGACAGGCGCTGGAACCACTGAGCTAAATCCCCGGCCCTTTTATGAAGTTCTTTAAGAACCTTAAAATAATATATTTTATCCTGACCTATCCTGACATTTTGTACCCATGCATTTTATAAATCCCAGTTTTTGTTTTTGCTTTAGTAATTTTTGAGAATTTGACACAATAATAAAAAATTCTTTCATATTCATCATCATATGTATTTATTGGTGCTTTCATTTCTTGTATAGATTCAGGTGTCCATTTTGTTTTATTATCTAAAGGATTTCCTTTAACATTTCTTGTGCTGGTTATGAAGTTTTTCAGCTTTGTCTGAAGATATTCTTTGTTTTTTTTTTTTTGGTACCAGGGATCGAACTCAGGTTCTTGTGCTTGCGAGGCAGGCGCTGGAACCACTGAGCTAAATCCCCAGCCCTTGTGTGAAGATATTCTAACATAAAACGATAGAACTCTAGTTTGACCCTCCTTCCCAGGCCCTACTTAGAAGATGGTACTCTGCTATCTTTTAGTTTGCATTTATTCCAAGAGGCTGTGATTGTTAACACTGGTTCTTAAAAGTTTTGATCTTTATCGGATATTTCTTCTACCTTTCTTGTCTTCTTCTGAGACCTTGATGACTTGTTTTATATGTTGCGTGGAGTCCCACAGTCACAAATGCTTTATTTTAGTTTTTAATTTTCATATTTTATATAGTTTGTCTTTAACTTCACCATTTTATTTACATTATGTAGCCTGCTTTTTATTTTATCCTGTGTTTTTTCATTTTAGATGTTTGTATTTTCGTCCCTACAAGTTGGACTTGAATCTTTTTTATCCTCCATGTTTTTGCTTTGTATGTTTCCCTCTGTCTTTAGTATATGATATAATTAATGTATTTATAATACCTCTTTTAATGTCTTTGTCTCCTGATTATATCCCCTTCCATTTCTGTGTATATTTCTTTTGATTGGATTATGTTTTCCTGCTTGCTCTGCTCAGGAATTTTTTATTGTATTTTGGACATTGTGAGTTTATATTTTTGGATGTTGGGTTTTTGTATGCCTTAAAATATTAAGGTTTGTTCTGGGATAAAATTCAGTTACTTAGAAACCATTCTGTCCTTTTCAGGCTTGATATTGTTAGGTGTGAACAGACGACCCCTTTGTTTAGGATTATTATGGCCTCACTACTGAGGCAATAACTGAAGTACTCCACTTGATGCCTATGTTTCAGGATGTTCTTCCACTTTATAGGGCATAAACCATTTCCAGACCTCTATAGCCTCTAGGAATTCGCCTTTCCTTCCAGTAGTTCTCATGGTAATTTTCTTTTCACACATGTGCAGACCAGTCCTCAGACAGACTCAAGGTGTATTCTAGCCACCTTGGCTTTCCTGAACTGGGTGTTTTGTATGTTCATCTTGAGACTATCAGTCTGTGATCTTCCTTCTGTGCAATCTGGGAACCTCTAGTTCTAAGCTGATGCCATTACAGGGCTCATTTTGTGGGTTTGCCTTTTCTCAGGGATTGCTGTCTTTTACTGCCTAATTAATGTCTGAAAGCTAATTTCATCTTTTGTCTGGTTTTGTAATTGTTTGACTTAAGAGAATAAATCCTGTACTTTGTTTCTAATCATATTTGGAAACAGAGATGTCTATAGGCTTATTTAAGACACAGACCATCTAATGTTTTCCTCTGCTGCCACTGGTGCAGTGATAGGCATATAGTTACTCAGTAATTATCTAATTGAATGAACAGTGTTGACTTCTTTTGTTTGTTTCTTTGTTTTTTGGTACTGGGGATTGAACTCAGGTCCTTGTGCTTGCGAGGCAGGTGACAGAACCACTGAGCTAAATCCCCAGCCCAACAGTGTTGACTTTTAATTGCTTTTCAATAATTTGTATTTTGTTTGGAACTGTTTTTATATATATAACACTGTTCTTCAGAGAGTTATAGCCCTAAGTTTCTTTAATACAAATTGTAGTCTGTATGTACTTTTGAGAGTCTGGGTATATGAGAAGTCTGATAAGGAGTTAGGATGGCAGTACTGTAGTTGCCTAGTGTTCTTGAATGAAATTCACTGTAGGTTGTAGTTGTATTCTCACTGAGTAGAAATCAGAAGTGACCAAGAAAGATAGATAATGTACCAATAGCCTGTCTCTGCTTCTTTTCATAAGTTGGTTTCTGATCCCAAGGTTTGACAGTAACTGTCAAACTAATTTACACACTGAAATAGTTTTAATTAAATTTATAAAAGTAGCCAGGCCAGTTTCTTAAATTGACTGTAGCATTTGATTAGACGTATTCCTTTGGTTAAGGTGAATCTCTGCATAGAAAAATAAATGAAATTATCTGATGCAAATAGTTTAAGTCAGAAGAGTCATTAACTGAAGGGCAAGAAAATTTAATTTGATTTTATTACTAGATCATTGTTTATTTAAACTGGAAATTTTTAATACAGGGTGTCTACTTAGCAGAAGAATGTTGATATTCTTGAATATTTTCATTTTCATTCTTAGTAAAAGTATCTTTTACTTTCCATAAGTTCTGTGAATATCTTGTAATGATATTATATTACATGTGGGTTTTCAAATTATCTATTCTTTATATATTGCTTTCTCTTTAGTGTTGCCCTGGGAACTGTCCACCTTGCGATCAAAACTGTGGACGGACTTTAGGATGCAGAAACCATAAGTGTCCGTCTGTCTGCCACAGAGGTAAGATTTAACAATAGCTGTAAGTTTACATTTGTATTTGCTTAATGTTACAGAGCTTCACATTGGTTATCTTACTTTCCGCCAATGACCTTGAGAGTGAAACACGTGCAGTGGTTACCTATCCCCCTATTTTGTGAGGGAGGTGGTAAAGTTGAAGAGAGCTCAGTGAGTTACTCTGGGAAATGTGTAGTACAGCATTTACACATGTTTGAACTCAAGTCTTCTGCCAGTGGTGATATTTGGTAACTGAGGTAACTTCTTCCTAAGTGTCAAAGTGTCTTTTTTAGGCAGTTGCTATCCATGCCCAGAAACTGTAGATGTGAAGTGCAATTGTGGAAATGCAAAGGTGACAGTGCCCTGTGGTCGAGAAAGAACCACAAAACCACCCAAATGCAAAGAGCTGTGCAGGTTGGTGTGAACTCTGACAGACTTATGTCTGGTATCTTATACTTTAAATTTGTGTCCATTTTTAATGTTCTCAGTATTTTAATTTTGCTTTAGAGTACTAAAATATTAATATTCACAATATTCTCATTCTACATGGACTCAGAAGATATATATAAGTAGATATTTGCACTTCAAGTGTAATTGTTCAGAGATCAAAAGTAATTTAAAAATTTGCCCTTTTGATTTAGTCGACCACCAACATGTCACCATGCAAGTCGAGAAAAACATCGCTGTCACTTTGGTCCCTGTCCACCATGCCATCAGCCGTGCCAAAAAGTTTTGGAGAAGTGTGGTCACTTGTGTCCAGCTTCATGTCATGACCAAGCATTAATAAAGCAGCCTGGCTGGGTAAGAGGACAGTGTGAAGAGGACAGTTCATTGCTGTGGGATGTATTTTCGTGGTTTATTTAGTCATTCAACAAACAATGATTAAGGACAATGATATAAGTCTGTGACGTAATATGTGATTCTTAAAGTGTTCCTAGTATAAAGGCTAGATCTTTACTTAGCATGCATAAGGTCCTAAGTTCAATGTCGAGCATAGAAAAAAGAGCTCATAGTATAGAAGAGGAGAGAAACCATTCAATAAGGAAATGTTTGCAAATACAGTGTGATAATCATGTTATAATTATTTAGATGAATTTATCAGGCTTCCGTCATATTTTGTGGTTAAAGGTTATAGATATCTCTTAGTTTTCTTAGAGATTCATTGGGAGTACTGAGCCCTGACGCATATGTCAAGGTGATGAGCAACAACATAATGGAGACTAGTTTGACTAGCACATTTGTTGGAGTTTACCGTATGCTGCTCATTCTCCTTTTGGCTTAGAAGAGGCAAGGGAGGCTATACTGTCATTGTTTTCCCTTTTAAAAACTGGAATCTGCTGTATTATGGAATATGTGTGAAGGAAGATAGTCTGATGTAATTGAGATAGAATAAAACAATTTGTTGATTACTTGAAAAAGATATGCCTGCTTGAGCAGAGGATACATGGGAACTATTTTGTTGTATTCTTATAAAGGACATACAATTTAATCTTTCTGATTTTGAATTGTCATTTTACTCATAGCATCAACCTACAGGCCCTTGGGAGCAACCTTCTGAACCAGCATTTGTTGAGACCGCGTTACCTTGTCCTCCATGTCAAGTTCCTATTCTTGTGTAAGTATTATAATTTTAATCTTAAAAAAGAACTTTTGACATGATCTCAATCCATCTTAAGTCAGCCACTCTGATTAGTTAATATTATTTTAGGCCCGACCTATACACTAGTTCTTGAGTTCTGCTTCATTCTTATTCATCTATATCTGCTCTGCTGCTTTATAGACCTCCTATGGCTCTCTGTTTTTGAATCTTCTTCCTCAGCTGGAGTTTAATGTCCTTAGCTTTCCATCACAACTTGTTCTAACAGTTGTATAAACACACTCAGGAAGCTCATCATTTGTTACTTTTCCTGATGATTTTTGAGCTAAGTGGCCAGCTCCCCAAGGACACCAGGGAGCCAGGTTTTACATGGCACACTTGAAGGAGAGTGTTGAGAGGAAACATTGGATATGAAAGAAAGTAATTTTCTGGATGGGCCAGGGAATGAGGATTGAGCTGTAAGGAGTTGAATCTGTAGAAATAGGGAATCCCAGAAAGTTTTCTCCTTTTAGGATATGGGTTATAGGAAAAGGACACACAGAATTCTAAGAAGCAACATAAAACTAGAAAAGGGGCTGTTATCTGCAAGTAAAATTCCAAATCTAACATTGGTGTGTCTTATGTAGTGATATTTTGAAAAAGGAATTTTTTTCTTTATTTGTAAAATTCAGTCTCATTTTTTCCTTCTACAGCTTTCTCTGAACTAGCTTATATTATATAATCCTTATTACATGTTGTGGGATTTTATTTGCTAGTGTTTATTGAGAATTTTTATTTCTGTATCCTTTCAGGACATTGGTCTGTAGTTTTCTAGTGATGCCTTTCTCTGGTTTTAGTATCAGGGAATACTAGCCTCATTGAATGAGTTGGGAAGTATCCCTCTGTAAGGATTGGTGTGAATTCTTTAAATATTTGATAGAATTCACCATTGAGGCCCTCTGGTCCTGAGCTTCTCTTTGTGGTAAGTTTTGATTATTAATAGTTTTGCTTTTTCCAGAACATAACATGCAGTAGTTGGAATTATATAGTATTCAGATTGACTTACTTAGCTGAATGCACTTAAGGTTCCTTTTGGTCTTATCATGGCTTGGTAGCTTATTTCTTTTTACCACTGAATGCTATTCTATCATATGGATGTCCTGCAATTTGTTTATCCACTCACCTATTGGAGGATATTTTGGTTGCTTCTAAATTTTGATAATTAAGAAAAAATCTGCTGTAAACATGCAAATTTTTATGTGGATGTAAGTTTTCAGCTTGTTTGGATAAACACTTAGAAGTAGAATTGCTGGATCATATGGAAGCTTATGTCTAGCTTTGTAAGAAGCTGTCAAACTGCCTACCACAGTAGTTGTCCCAGTGTATATTTTTATCAGCCATGAAGAAAGCTCCTGTTGCTCTACATCTTCATCTGTATATAATACTTTCAGTGTTTTGAATCTTAGCTATTCTTATAGATGCAAAGTAGTATCTTATTTTTAATTTGCAGTTGTCCAATTACATATAGTTTTGAGTATCTATTCATATGCTTATTTGCCATCTGTAGGTCTTTTTGATGAGTTATCTAGTCTCTGTTTAGATTTTTTTTCCTTTTTAAATTGAGATGTTTGCTTTCATCTTGTTGAGTTTGAGTTATGAATATATTTTGGATATAAGTATTTTACCAGATGAATGTTTTCCAATTTCTCCCATTTTGCAACTTGTCTTTTCATTCTCTGAAGTGTTCTTTGTAGAGCAGAAATTTTTAGTTTAATTCCAACTTACCTGCTTTCTTTTATGGATCATACCTTTGGTAGTATATAAAGAGTCTTGTCACTAAACCCAAGGCCATCTACATATTCTGTGTTTTATAGTTTTGTATTTCACTTTTAGTTCTATAGATGTTTTTTGAGTTAATTATTAGAAAGTCTGTGAAGATTTCTTACAAGTGAATGTCCATTTATTTCATCACCAACCATTTGTTGAAAAGCATCTTTTCTGTAGTCATTTGCCTTTGTCTTTTTGTCTAAGATGAATAGACTGTATTTGTGTAAGTCTATATCTAGGCTTTCTGATTTGTTCCATTGATTTGTTTTTCTGCTCTTTCACCAATACCGCAGTCTTTTAATCACTATGGCTTTATAGTTTGAAGTCAGGTAGTATCGGTCCTCTGACTTTGTTCTTCAATATTGTGTTGGCTATTTGGAGTCTGTTGTTCTAGGTAGTCTTTAGAATCTGGTTGTTATCTGCAAATTAACTTACTGGAATTTTTTTTTTATTGAGTTTATTGGTACATTTAGGGATACAGTACAGTTACATTCATTGTTGGGGTCATGTACCTTTACATGGCAAGTCTTGATTCTCATTTTTTCCCCTTACCTCTGCCCTCCCTTCACCCCCTCCTCCCCTCCCCATCTACAAACACTTTATTTTCATCTTTTCATTCTCTCACATTTTTTTCTTTTCCCTTTTTGTTCTTCCCCTACGTATCACACCTTCCCTACACCTTTAGCTCCTTTCCTCCCATTTCTAAATGTCAGTAATCTTATTAGAATCTTATGCATTGTTGCAGAATATTCACACCAGGGAAACTATTTGGTATTTACACATGTGGGACTTATTTATTTCACTTAGGAGTATATCTTCAATATGTATCCATTTTCCTATGAATGAATCTATTCTCTCGCTCTTTATGGCTGAGTAATATTCCATTTT